AGTTAGATAAATGATTAATTTGTCCAGTAACAACATATATACAGTATTGTGCAAAAGTAACTGTAGCGTCTCGTGTTACACTTCCGTTACATCCGGTGACATCATGACTATTGCGCATCGAAGCGTAAAGCAGCGTGCCTCGTGGTTAATGTCGGCAGTGTTCTAGCCCTTTTGATAACACTCGCTCTTCACTGTTCTGTTCACGTTGTTTGCCCCTGAATCGGAATAGAGGTATGTAATGATATTATAATCAAGTTATCGTCGCAATGTAGGCTACGTTTATCATTTGCATGCTATCAAGCAGCTTGTAGTTCCACGAATAATCAATTCCTTTTGTTATGAGATTTCAGCAATAGTGATTCATTGTCTATTCAGATCGGATATAGTTTGCAATGTAGTACAGTTATTGTATTTACTTTTCAGTTTTTACGTATTGGACCAATAAAGATTGTAATTAAACTTGGTTCGATGTCCAATTCAGTCAGAAAACCTATCGCCGTTACAGTAACACAACCAAATTTCAACGAATTTCTTGGCTTTTTGAAGAAATTTTGCTTCAAACAAAATTTACACGACTTTTCCACCAACCTTTCAAGGCACCTACTGTTTTATTCCTTCAGAACTTTTGAACGATAATTCGCTGTGGACACTAACGAGTCATGAAATTCTAAGGGAAAGTTCGCTCTTTTCGATTGTTAACCGCAAACTTTTGAAAGAAAGAAAGTTTACTCTGGTTGTTAACCATTTTGATACAAACTGAGTGAAATACAGCTACAGTTCGATTTGTTGTTGTGTAAAGAGACGCAGTGAACATCTGAAATTAGGTTCATCAACTCAATCAACTATTATATCGATCTTACCTGTTGAATGTTTGATTGTTAATGCATCCTAACAGCTAAAAGCATCAGAGTTTCTGTAAAAACTTGCTGTTTCAACCACGTAAGAACTCCAGGTAAGTAAAACTTGCACAAAGTGCCATTTTGTGAAGGTAAACCCCTTCATGTAACAGAACATGACATTTCCCATTGGGATTCCAGTCTCTGCATGAGTGAGCATGATCTGCATCGTTTGCAGCCATGTCAACTTTATGAAGGATGCTCCTGTTAAATAGATTACTCTCAACAAACAAAAACAGAAAGGTAATGTTTTCATTGTTTTTACTCCAAGAAAGGGCTTGTGTGCGATAGGTAACCAGTTTCATCTGCAAAAAGTAACACACTTGATCTAGCTTCCTGAACATGCGCCACAGGAAAACCACTTTTGATTACTTTCTAGTAGTATAGCATAAGTGTGAGTTCAGTTAAGAATTATCAACCAATTGCTAATTAAGACTGCTGAATACATTTGAACTACTGGTGAAATAACTGGCTAAACTATCGTCAATGCAGATTTTCCGTAGGACTTGACAAGAATGTTGGTTCCTCAATAATCCCGCACAATTCCCTGCACAATCAAAGGTTTAATTCTTCCGCACAATGTGCCTCCAAATTCACACGTTATTTTTTTCCCCTGCACCCTACTTGAAAGCCAACTAACTTGGAGGTAAGATATTTAATTCAAGTTACCAGAAGTGTTATCTTAACAACATTGGAGATCGACATATTTTGCACGGTGTTTTTAATGAGCTACAAGTCCAAAAACATTTTCATATTTAGCTCGTTTTATTGCAATTTGATTTGTTTTACTGCAATGTTCTAAATAATAACAGCAGTAGCCACATACCGTCATTGACTGCGTATTTTTTGCCAGCGTTTTCGTAGATTGAACTCAAACTGCAATCGGCTCAGTTAATTGTTATCTCACGAGAATGATTCGAGCGTGAACCTTGCTTACTTGGCTGGCTTTCAAGGAATATAATTCATGGACCGACCCTTCCTGAAAACGATTGACATCTTTGTATGTGAGATGAACACATAAGGCACGATTCTTGCCAAAACTTTCTTCGCAAAACACTGCATTCTGTCATGAAGAGCGAGCAATGTCGTGTTTCTCGTCCCCAGTTTCAATGGTCTACGCATGGAACACCTAGGACCATGACCCCCCTTTTAGCGACCAAAACGCTAGCATTTTAAGACTCGGGCTTTCCTACGGAAGCCCAAGTAATACAGAATTTACCTGTGTATAAGTCGACCTTTCAAGACCTAAAAATCAGTCTGAAA